GCGAGTGAGAGAGAGAGTGTGTGTGTGAGAGAGAGAGAGAGAGTGTGTGTGTGTGAGAGAGAGAGTGAGAGAGAGTGTGAGAGAGAGAGTGTGTGTGTGTGTGTGAGAGAGAGAGAGAGAGAGAGTGTGTGTGTGTGAGAGAGAGAGTGAGAGAGAGTGTGAGAGAGAGAGTGTGTGTGTGTGTGTGAGAGAGAGAGAGAGAGAGAGTGTGTGTGTGTGAGAGAGAGAGTGAGAGAGAGTGTGAGAGAGAGAGTGTGTGTGTGTGTGTGAGAGAGAGAGAGAGAGAGAGTGTGTGTGTGTGAGAGAGAGAGTGAGAGAGAGTGTGAGAGAGAGAGTGTGTGTGTGTGTGTGAGAGAGAGAGAGAGAGAGAGTGTGTGTGTGTGAGAGAGAGAGTGAGAGAGAGTGTGAGTGAGAGAGTGTGTGTGTGTGAGTGAGAGAGAGAGAGAGAGAGAGAGTGAGTGAGAGAGAGAGTGTGTGTGTGAGAGAGAGAGAAAGTGTGCATGTGTGAGAGAGAGAGAGAGTGTGAGTGTGTGTGTGTGTGTTTTACCTGCTGCTGCTGCTGTTGTGCTCTGCTTGTGTTGTGTGTGTCTCTGCCTCATTTCATTCTCTGTGTCTGAGACGCAGTTCAGTGAGTCCTGCAGCTCGTTAAACACCTGAACACAACACAAACCGATCAGCAGCGCTCTTCAGTCACTCATTAATGAGCGTAACGAGCCGTAGCTCTCTCACCTGGATGTTGAGCTCAAAGGCAGTGACAGCCTCCTGCAGCACGCCGCTCCGCTGCTCCTCCGTCAGCTCGATGCTGTTCATGCGGCTCCTGTACAGCTGCTTGAAGAGGTTTGGGCTGCTGACGGCCGGAAACGAGAAGAAGGACAAGCCCTCTCCGCTCTTCAGCCCTAGAGACTTCTGCGTGATGCGGCCCAGCACCTGCCCCCCCGACAGGTCGCCCAGATAGCGTGTGTACGCATGAGCCACCAGGTATTCAGGGTGATCTCTGCCCACCTGAGACACGACAGAGCAAAGTCACGCTACTCTCACACAACAGAGCGTATGAATGACCTACGACGTCCTAACAGTGTCCCAGAGTCATGCTCCTCTGATATCAGTGTCAGCCATTAAAGGAATAGTTCACCCAAAATAAGAGAATTAGCTGAAAATATGATCATCCTCAGTTCATCTGAGATCAGGATGAGTTTGTTTCTTCATCAGGTTTGGAGAAATGCAGCACTGCATCAGTGTCTCAGCAATGGATGCTCTGCAGTGAATGGGTGCCGTCAGAATGAGAGCTGATAAAAACATCACAATAATCCACAGCACTCCAGTCCATCAGTTAACATCTGGAGAAGACAAAAGCTGAAACAAACCCAGCATTAAGACGTTTTTAACTAAAATACATAAGAGTCCATAATCCATAATAACTCTTCCTCCAGTGAGTCAGTGTTCTGGTGTGAATCAGGAGAGAAATCTGCACAGATCAAGCAGTGTTTAAACAGCTCTGAACACATATGAGACACAACAGCAGATGCACTTTTTCGTTATTATGGATTATAGACTCGTATTTTAGTTAAAAACGTCTTAATGCTGGATGTGTTTCAGCTTGTGTCTTCTCCAGATGTTAACTGATGGACTGGAGTGCTGTGGATTACTTGTGGATTATTGTGATGTTTTTATCAGCTCTCATTCTGACGGCACCCATTCACTGCAGAGCATCCATTCCTGAGACACTGATGCAGTGCTACATTTCTACAAACCTGATGAAGAAACAAACTCATCCTAATCTCAGATGACCTGAGGGTGAGCACATTTTCAGCTAATTGTCTTATTTTGGGTGAACTATTCCTTTAAGAAAGCCAATGAACATGAACACCGATCATTGATCGTCTGATGGCATGTTGAAACTAACAATCATGATTCTCGGCCGATGCTAATAATCTCTAAATTGGCCAGATATCGATGGATTAATATTTGTTGTAGAATAGACTGGTTGTAGATGTTCACCTCTCTCAGTCTCTGTGCGTATCTCAGCGCCGCGGCCGATATCGTCATCTTCTCCCTCCAGCTCCGGCCGTAGAAATACTCCAGGTCCTTCCCGATGGACTCCAGTCGGGACAGTTCCTGTGGGAAGTAAATGGGTGCCACGGCATCATGGGAGGCGTTTGTGTCCAGCGCCTCCTCCAGCGCCTCGTATATCTCATACAGCGAACACAAGAGCAGCTGAAACACCGAGCAGAAGAAGCCAGGTGAGATTCCACAGGGAGTCAATATGAAGGTTAAATATGACTATATAACTGGAGATAGTTAGGCTGGTTAACAGCTGTGTGTTGTGATTGGTCAGTCCAGTGGTGATGTTATCAGTTATAAACTAAGGTGAATTCAATGTAAAAAAAATAATAATAATAAACTTTTTTAAGTATTATCAAATATATTGACATCTCATTGACTGTGCTGAGTTTGAGTTACCTGATACTGCTGCAGGGACACGCGTCCTCTCTGGTAGCTCAGCATCAGCTCAGTGTTCTCCGCTCGGACGTGACTGTCTTTAGTCGCAGCTTTGATCTGCTCTGATAGTTCACTGCCAGAAAACACAGATTCACATAAACACACATCCACTCAACATGAAACACAGAATCAGAATCTGCAGTGATGCAGCTGGAGGAGGCGTCAGTAACCACAGACAGACCTGGCCATGACCGCTGTCTGCATCTGCTTCTTCTCAATGGTCTCCATCTCTCAGGAACACAGATGAAGCTGACGTGTGGATCTCCTGGATGGATGTGAGCGGTGATCTGAGCTCACACTGCCGCTCTTGGCTCTTTTATACTCGCTCCTGGCGCCTGGGAGAGAGAGGAACAGGAAGTCAGCAGAACTGGAACAAAGACAGAGGGAGGGAGCAGCAGCTAAACATGAGCAGACACATTCATCAGGAGGACAGACGGGGAAAACATGACTGAGGGAGAACAGAGTCACATGATGACCTGATGTTCACATGAAAGAGGGATATATATGTGTGATTTTCTGTTTCTAGTGATCACTTATAGCATGAAACGAGGTGGACATTTCTGTGATGTATGTGTGATCACGATCAGGTGTAATTATTAGAGTCAGAGTGAAAGAGCGTTATAACAGATCAAGCGTCTCTTCTGTCATGAAGATCATCTTGCATAAGAGCTGCAGGCTATAAACCGCCAGATTTATGGCTGTGATTCGCTGAGAAGCGATAAAGAGTGTGAGTCCGCCGAGTGTCGAAACCGTGAGTCAGCGCAAACACGCTAAACATGAGCGAGCAGAACGCGAAGGAAACATGACTCGACACAATCCAGAACTCTAGAACTCTGAACCCTGCTCCAGTACAGTCTCGGTGTGTAAACACTCACACACACACTCTCTCTCTCTCTCTCTCTCTCTCACACACACACACACACAATCTAATTAAAATAATGAGTTTCTGAATAAAAGATTGATCAGAAATCAGTTCAGCGGTATCCACTGTTTCAGTCAGAGTTGTTTTGATGCAAGTAGCAGGAATCTTATCAGCAAAGTAAATCAGTGTCACTCAAACACCATCAGAGGAAATCCACAGTACTCTGGCACCAGCACTGGCAGAAAGTCTGCTTGGGGTTAGATATTCGATTAGGGACCTTCTCTAAAGTTGCATGCGATATTGGTGTACACTTTTCTAACGTCAATAGCACTTGAGGAGAATGACTTGCAGTCATAAAAACAACTGTAACTGTTCATCTAGGGGTCACTATAATGCACAGCTTTTACATTTTTGATATTTATTAAAAGAAACTGTAAAACATATGTAAAAAATGCTACTTTTCACTACCGAATGGGCTCAAATGCAAAACATGCCATAATTTAAAGGGGTCCTATTATGCTCTTAAGTCTTAATTTTGTTTTGGGGGTGTACTAGAACAGGCTCTCATACAGGTTGTTCGAAAAACACATTTTTTACATATGATTGACAGTTTATATGAATAAATATAAAAAATGTAAAAGCTGTGCATTATAGCTGACCCCTAGATGAACAGTTACAGTTGTTTTTATGACTAAGTCATTCTCCTCAAGTGCTATTGACGTTAGAAAAGTGTACACCAATATCGCATGCAACTTTAGAGACGGCCCCTAAATTTGCGAATATCGAACGCCAAGCAGACTTTCTGCCAGTCACACCAGCAGGGTTTCCATCCAAATCTGCGAATCTGATCAGCATTTTAGTGTTTATTAAGAATATATACTATGTACAGACAACGCTCTAAACTGCCCGTTGCATTCAATACGTAATCTGGTATTTTTCCATCACTGTGCGTCTTAAGCAGAATGTGACTGTGAGAGCTGCTCAGCTAAATAAAACTGAGACTAATGTGTAACGTGGGAACAGGTTTGTGTCGAGCCATCCGTTATAGTCTGTAGCTCAATGAGAAACAGAAGAAATGTATTTGCAATAAATCTGCTTTAAGCTGAGGACTATTATTCTGCTGCACGGAACCGAGGAAGAACTGATGACGACACGGTTTGATCTTCGGCTGACCAATCAGCAGAAAGGGGCGTTTCAGTCCCGCCCACATCTGGAGATCGAATATTTAATATTCGAATAATCAAATTGTCTACCTCTGAACGCCAAAACAAATTATTTTAAAAAGATTTCTATTTCTATCTCGTTTTTCTATTTTGAATATTAAATCAAAAATCAAATGAACACTGATTCTTTTCTCACAATGCATTTTAAATTCTAATTTTGGCCGCCTGTGAAAAGGGTCAAAGCATAGATATTACCCGACAAGGTCAAGAAAATAGCTAGAAACCCCGGCTCTGGTTCAGCTGAATGCTGATGCGTCGGCCCTGCTGCCACATATCCAGATTTAAACGCAGATATTTCGTTCAGGAGCATATTCTTTGTCAGGGAGCTCACCTGTGTGTGTCTTCTCGGGGTAATGTTGCATGCGCTGGCTGGGCCTCCGCAAATGGAAGAATTATTGAACAATTTTCACAGCTCGCCGAGCAGCGGCGCTCTTCCGCCTGACCGCTGGAGGCGCTCGAGGGCGAGATGACGTCACACGCGAGAAACTGACCGCGCAGCGCAGAGCCAAGATGGCGGCAGGAGACGCTTGATATTTGATGAAGGTAATAGACGAAAATTGTGTTTGAATGAATGAAGTTACGTTTTATCACGACCGTATGTGGCTTTAAAGGTTTGTTTTTCAGTTGAAGGCGCTTCAGTGTATCTGAATTATATACTGTGAATCACTAATAGTGTTATAAGTTTCGCTGGTTAGCGTGTTAGCATAGAGGATAACAACAACAACAACAAACACACGGTCATATTCACTCAAATACACGTTAAAACACACGTTCATACATATTTATATACGCACTAAAACTCACAAACAGACACATCGCAAGTACACAACCACACACACTAGTAACACAATGTGTTTCTGTCTACAGCTGCGAGACGTTTGTGAACCCTTTACAGCCCTCCAATCAGCACTCACTGTCCTCAACAAAAGAGTGAAAAGTACAATATTTTGTGTGTTATTAGTTTAGTCAAATTGTCTGCTTCTATAATTGTGACTTAAATAAAGATCAGACCATAGTTTGAGTAAAATATGTTCAAAGGGTTCACAAACTTATTCTTGGCACTGTATATAACCTGTGTGTGTGTGTGTGTGTGTGTGTGTGTGTGTGTGTGTGTGTGTGTGTGTGTGTGTGTCTCTC